CAGCCTTAATGTTCTCCCTACTCTAGAGAAGCAAGTTCTGGTACACCAGTATCTTTTTATCAGTCCTAGGGGTTGGGGCAGCTAGGTGGCAGAATGAATAGAGCACTGGTCCCGGAGTCAGGACGACCTGAGTTCAAATCCAGCCGCAGACACATAACACTTACTAGCTGTGTGACCCTGAGCAAGTCACTTAATCCCAATTGCCTAACCAAAAAAAAAAAAAACCACAAACAAACAAAAAATAAATAAAATCCTAGGGGTTGTATTACATGCAATGTTAGGAGGCAGATGCAGTAGGAAATATGCTATGTAGTGTCCTTTTATCAGGTTTTATTATTTGTGGCTGAAATTGTTGGGGAACAGTAAGGAGAAGGAAATTGATCTTCCCCTTAAACTAGATACTGGGTATTTGTTAATAAATTATTCCTTCAGGGTGAGAGAGAGAGAGAGAGAGAGAGAGAGAGAGAGAGAGAGAGAGAGAGAGAGAGAGAGAGACTTGAAACAGAGTTAAAATAAAGTACATTATGCTTCAGCTTAAGTAAAAAGGCAGGGATAGCAATCATGATCTCAGACAAAGCAAAAGCAAAAATAGACAATTAAAAGAGATAAGGAGGAAAACTACATCTTGCTAAAAGGTACCATAGGCAATGAAGTAATATCAATACTAAACATATATGCACCAAATGGCATAGCATGCAAATTCTTAAAAGAATAGTTAAATAGATTCTAGGAAGAAAGAGACAGTAATCCTATGCTAGTAGGGAACCTCAACTTTCCCCTCTCAGAGATAGATAAATGTATTGATGAAAATAAATAAGAAATAAGTTAAGGAGATGAACAAAACCTTAGGAAAGTTAGATATGATGGATGTCTGGAGAAATTTGAATAGAAAGAGAATAGAAAGGAGTATTTCTTTTTCTCAGCTGTACATAGCACCTTCACAAAAATTGACCATGTATTAAAGCATAAAAACTTCACAATAAATGCATAAAAACAGAAGTATTAAATATACCTTTCCCAGACTAAAATGCAATAACTATCATTTTCAATAAAGGGCCAGGGAAGAATAGATAAAAATTAATTGGAAACTAAATAATCTAATCTAAAAGAATGAGTGAGTCAAAGAACAAATTAAGGAAACCATCAATTTCATTAAAGAGAATGATAACACTGTATCCAAAAGAAATCACAAAAATGGGAAAAGGACCCACATGTACAAAAATATTTATAGCAGCTCTTTTTGCGGTGGCCAAGAATTGGAAGCTGATGGGATGCCCATCAATTGGGGAATGTCTGAACAAATTGTGGTATATGAATGTAATGGAATACTATTATGCTATAAGAAATGATGACCAGGCAGACTTTTAAAAAACCTGGAAAGATGTATATGAACTGATGCTGAGTGAAGTGAGCAGAGCAGCAGAACGTTGTACACAGTAACAGCCACATTGCACGATGGCTGACTTTGATAGACTTAGCTCTCAGCAAAGCAATGATCTTAGACAACTCCAAAAGACTCATGATGGAAAATGCTATCCACATCCAGAGAAAGAACTTTGGAGTCTGAATGCAGATGGAAGCATATTATTTGCTTTCCTTTTGTTCTGTTTTGTTTCTTCTTTCTCATGGTTCCTCCCATTGGTTCTAATTCTTCTTTAAATTATAACTAATGTGAAAATATGTTTAATATGAATATATAAGTAGAGTCTATATCAGATTGCACACCATCTTGGGGAGGAGGGAGGAGAGAGTTGGGGAGAAAATTCAAAACTCAAAATCTTATGGAAGTGAATGTTGAAAACTAAAAAATAAATTACAAAAAAAGAGAGAATGACAACAATGAGACAACATACCAAAATGTGTGGGGTATAGCCAAAACAGTACTTAGAGGAAAATATATATCTCTAAATGAGAGAAAGAGCATATCAGTGAATTGGACGTGCAACAGCAGCAGCAAAGCTAGAAAAAGTACAAATTTAAAACCTCCAAATTAAACTCCATAATGAAAATCCTGAAAGTAAAAGGAGAGATTAACAAAATTGGAAGTAAAAAAAATATACATTGAAATAATATATAAGACTAGGAGCTGGGTTTAGAAAAAAAAATAAAATAGATAAACCATTGGTTAATTTGATTTGAAAGAAGAAAACCAAATTACCAAGTGTCAAAAGTGAAATGGGCAAATTCACCACCAATGAAGGTGAAATTACAGCAATTATTAGAAGTTATTTTTCCCAATTGCATGCCAGCAAAACTGACAATCTAAGTAAAATGGATGAATATTTACAAAAAAGTAAATTGCCCAGATTAACAGAAAAGGAAATAGAATGCTTACATAACCTTATCTTAGAAAAGGAAATTGAACAAGCCATAAATGAGCACCCTAAGAAAAAATCCCCAGGACCAATGGATTTACAAGTGAATTCGACCCAACATTTAAGGAATAATTAATTCCAGCACTATATAAACTATTTGAAAACATAGTGAAAGAAGGAGTCCTACCCAATTCCTTTTATGCCACAAATATGGTGCTGAGTCCTAAACCAGAAAGAGCCAAAACAGAGAAGGAAAACTACAGACCAATTTCCTTAATGAATATTGATGAGATCTGACCAGGAAGGAGGATAGAACCCAAAGGACTAAGTTAGAGATTAACAAAAAAGATCCAGAAAATGTGAAGCTTAATTTATCCCTAGCATGTGGTGGTCACTCACAGGCGCTGTCACGGGGCTCAGAACATGGGCCTATCATAATGTTAGGACTTTATTGTATTAACATTTCATCATCACTTCTTTATAAAGCAAATGGTACTTTCATTTCCTGGGGTCTTCACCAATCCTTAACACCTGTGCTTTTTTCCCTTCTATGTGGCCATGGAACTACAGTATAGAATAGTGGAGCCTTACATTTATAATCCAAAGGCCTGGATTAAAATCCCAGGACTTCTATTTATTAGCTGTGTGATTTAGGAAACATAATTTCACTTCTGTGGGCATTTGTTTCTTCATCTTTAAAAACAGGCAAGAAACTTAAAAACCTCAAGAGCAAAGGTAATGTTTCTATCACTGCTGCCTATCAGAGAGAAGGGTTTCAGAAAATAAAAAATGATTGGGAAACAAACGTTGGGAATGAGATTCGGATTTCCGGATCACAGCTTAAAAATACAGGAATGATGAGCTCCTAGCCAGGGATGCAATGCACCTAACAAGGGCTGGTAAGAATTATTTGCCTGTCTCTTACAAATCTAATTGAGAAGGAATTTTAACTGTAGAGAGAGGGAGAGAGAGAAAACTGCCTATGTGTATTCACCAACCTAGTTACTACAGAGAGTAAACTACAATGACCAAAAGAAAAAAAATAGTAGCAGGGTTCCAGAAGCTCAGAAAAGACAAAAATCTCTAAGAAAGGAACAGGTAACAAGAACTATGGTGTTGGGTGTTTTATACATATGTAACAGGGGGCTGATATGGTCCCCTAAGTGGAAGAGGCTGGAAAGCTGCTTCCAGGAGACCACAGTGATACATAATAGAAGTACCTTACTCCCCAATTTGAAACATTCTCATTCTGTAACCGGCTGTAGTCCTCTAGATTAGACCATAATGAAGAGGAGGCTTTCCCCTCTTTTATTAGCTCTTTAGATGGAACTGGGCTACATTCAAAAGGTACCAGTCAGTCAAGGCCTGTCTCTTGTTTGGTCTGACTTTTTCCTGCCTAGTGAAAGGCAAAGATGATGGTTTGGGTGGGGAGAGAGGCTATGAGACTTTATATCCTCATCAAGCTGCAACATAGACTGGGAGCTCATGGTTCTGCTTTAAGTGAAGGATATTGGAGATGATTACAACCTTGTAAATTTCCAAAGGTTAGGACAATAACCCACTTGGAGGTCTGAGAATGGAGTACATGATGGATTTTTTTTTTTTTTTGGCCAGCCAGTCCAGCATTTAGGAATCACTTTAGGGACCCATCTTGGTAGTAGCTGAGACTCTAAGTCATCTAACAGCTATGCTACATTTGGATATAAACTTGGTAGAGTAAATGTTAAGTAGAAACTGCATTAAGCTTAAACCCACTTTCTCTAGGACTAGGGTGGTATAAGGGAGAGCATGCCCTTCAGATGGTAGGGGAAGAAATATTTGTACCTCTGTTCTTTTTCTAGATGGATGTGGGGAGAAGGAACACCAGATTGGGGGGTTCAAGCTAGAATCCTAAAAGGGAGATGTAGCCAGCCTTGTTCAGGGAGAGTGAGTCTAGAGCTATACATAAATGCACTAAATATGAATTACTAGCCAGATAAAAGAGAGATTCTTCCATTGGAGGGAAGTTTGACCTCATAGGTAGACTTGTTTGAATGAAGCCCAAGATCAAAATGTTGCTCTATATACTTTGCAGAATTGTAAAGATCATTTGAAAGAATTGGAGACAGTCTGAAGAAGAGAGTATTTGAAGAGCTGCCATATCAGAAGAGGGATTCAACTTTCTCTGTTTGGTCCCAGAACACAGAATTAGGAAAAATGACAGAAAGTTGCAAAGAGATAAATTTAGGCTTGACATGAGGAAAACCGTTCTAATGATAATGGACCCAATGTAGAATGAAATACTGTGGAGGTGGTAGGAGTCTTTGGAACAGAGGCTAGATGACACTTGGTTGGGCATGATATGGGGGAAATTCTTGCTCAGTCATGAGTTGATCTAGGTGGCCTCTGGAGTCCTGTGCAATTCTGTGATTGTGTTCAGATGATTTATAATGTGGTGTATTAGAAAAAGCACTGCACTGTGGGGCCTGAATACCCAGTTTCTAGTCCTGCCTCTCTGATCCTAGGATCTTGGGCAAGTCACTTTCTTTCTGGTGGTGAATTTCTTTCTGGGGCCTCAGTTTTCTTTTAAGGTCCCTTTCAAGTCTGAATCTATGATCATACCTAGCACCTCTGTTTCATCTGTGGTGGCAACATGGAGAGACTCAGAAAATGTGTGCAGAATGGGCCATGGGTTGGATACCTCTATCCCCCCCCGGCACGGTTCTCTGAGACCCAATTCCTTCCCCTACCCCCATCCCAACCTTCAGGCTGCTGGCTCTTCTCCCAGGACACTAGCTAGTCCTGGTCCAGTGTAAGGTAGAGTTGACATTAGTGTCCCAGTGGGTCTGTGTCAGGTAAAACATTCTTTCTTTATTCCATTGTCAGTCCTGTCTACCTATGCCTATAGCAGGTTTCAGGTCCAGAGTCTCTTGTGACCAGGCCAGCTGTGGCTTGAGGTTCTGCCTATGGCTAGGCCAGTATGGGCCACTCGGTAGCTATGTCTATCCACAATCAGGGTCCCTCTAAGTGGCCAAGCCAGGTCACGTTGAGCTGGGTCTGGCCAGGGCCCAGTCTGTGGCTGGGCTGGGGGTAGGGGTGAGGACAGTCAGAAGCCCAGATGGACTCAGCGATTGTTCTCCGGTTGGGCAAGTTTGGGTAGGAAATAACGCTGCAAGGAGTCGTCCAGGATCAAGGAGGTCGTGGACGGGATGGAGGTGGCCAGGCTGGAGGGAAGGGAATTGGTTCCACTCGGGGCAGGGGGAGCTTCATTGAATGAGAAATGGTTCTCATGCGATATCGGGTCTTCTGGAAATTTGTCACCACAGCAGCTAGGGAAGAAATCAAATAGTAAAGCAGAGGGAGGAAGATTGATCAAGAGGAATAGGATCTGGGGGTCTAGGAAGGAGATCCAGGAACTAGACGAACTGGGAGATTCAAGTTGTGAGGTAAAGGAAGGAGGATGATGAGGGTGCCAGGAGACAGGGTTGGAGAGGGTCAGGCCCAGGGTAGCAGGATGGGGGGGTGGAGTCAAGGCTGTATAGGTTACTGGGTCAGGTTTACTTGTCAGGACTGGAGGATAAGGTGGGAGAGAAGAGACAGGTAAGTGAGCTGACTCCCAGGCACCCATGCCCTTTATCTGCCTGCTCTGCCCCCCACCCCCCTTCACTCACCATCCAGAGCTGTCAGGGAACCCCTATGCTCTTGAAGCCGCAGGATCTTTCGACCTTGAGTGTATCTGGTAGAAATGGAAGCCCAGATGAGTCTGGTCCAGTCCTCACACCTCCCATAGTACCATCTCTTTCATAGGCTTCCCCACTGCCAGTCTTACTGGTCACCTAGCCATGGTCACCTCACTGGTCACCTTTGAAGTGCTATCCTCTTCTGCATATCCAACTCCTTTACTAATGCCTTTCCTCCTATAGACCCTCCTTTTGCCCTAAATCCTATAATCCTGTCCCTTCTAGTCCCACACCCCTTCCTTTTTCTTTTATTCAGTCTTCTCAACCCTGACCCTTCATTTGCGCAGGGGCAAAGAAAACTGAAATTTAAAGGTGAGGATTATACATCTCTGACCTTGCAGGATATTAGGCACATTGGGTTTAGAATTTTGCACTGGTAAAGATCTTAGAATTCATTTAGCATAAGGTAAATGGAAAGAACCACCACCACAAAAATGATAAAAATGTGTGGCAAAACTGCAAAGAACTTAACCTCAAAGAAGAGAGGGAGAAGATACATCCTCCCTACTCCTTTATGTAGAGGTGAGGGTGCATGAATATGGAACGCTTTGCACCTTCCCTCACCCCAGATTTTTGTTAGTTTTTTTTCGGTGTTTTGATATGTTCAGTTAATTTTTCAATTAACTTCCTCTTCAATTTTCTTGGTTTTTTTTTTAATTCTGTCATAAGGGGTGGCTGGGAGGGAAATAGAAGGGAATCTAGGCTATTTAAAAACAAAAGCTACCTATAAAAATTCACTTTTGAAAATCATTTAGTCCGATACCCTCACTTTCCACATGAGGAGACCTCTCAGGGAGAAGCATCTCACCCATGGTCACATCGTGATAGAACCAGGATTCCAATCCAGACCCAATGACTCCAAATACAGGATTCTTTCTACTCTGCCATCATCTCTCTCAGGGTCATGGGAAGAACGGGGAATTCTCCTCAGAGTAACTAATCAGGATGTACATCGGTGTATCGGTGCTCAGAGTGTAGGTGATAAAGTGACATGACATTGTACAATGGAAAGACTGATCAGTGAAAGTCCAGGCCTTAAAGGCATGCCTGGATGTATACTCCTCGTGGGTTATACACAGAGAATGGGCATTATTAACTGCCTGGTTTTAACCAATACATGGAGGCTTAGGGAGCCTTCTTTCAGCCATAAGCAACTGAGGGGCCCATATTGTGTGGTGGCAAAGAATTTTCTGACCGGCTGAGGAGCCAGAACTTAATTCTCATACAAAAGAGTTTGTTTGTTTTTTTTTTTAAAGGCAATTGGGATTAAGTGACTTGCCCAGGATCACACATCTATTAAGTGTAAAGTGTTTGGTCTGAGGTCAAATTTGAACTCAGGTCCTCCTCCCTTCAGGGCCGGTGCTCTACCCACTGTGCCACCTAGCTGCCCCTCATACAAAAGATTTGAGGAGACAATCTCTTGCTGTCTTCCGTGGAAGCTCTCAAATTAAGAAGATTGCTGTGGCACACTGGGTTGAAGAGGTGGAGCAGGCTTCTCTGTCTGCCACCTTGCTACCAAATACATGGTTCCTGTTTCTTTTGCATTCCTTATCTTAGGTGAATGAGTGTCTGTGAAGATTGTCTTGTTAGGCTTCATGTATGACCACTGACTGACATACCTACCTACTGGGAAATTCCCATGTACCCGATGCCAGTTCAGTCAGCTATATTTAGGCAAGGAATGCAAGGCTCTACTGATCCTAATCAGTTTAGAAAACTTCGTCTAATCCAGGTTAGCAAACTTTCCTAAATCACAATACCTTTGCGATCAACAAAGTGGGGGAAGGGAAGTGTCAAAGTCCGGGCTGTCCACTCATTGACTGCCCCTAAGGTCCTCCTACCCCTCGGTCCCTGTGAATCTGCCCAGTAACAACAATCAGATATAAGGACAGAGACACGGAGATCTGAAACCTAGATGAGGGTACCTATCCCACCATAGGCTCAACATGACACCGGAGGCCTGGGGAGCCGCAGGCTTGCATGTCTGTGAAGGATGTGATCATTTGCTCGTATTCCTTCTTAGTACCTCACCCACGATCACCTCACAATTGGGTCAGAAGTTCTACTGGGATGTGGTTTGTGATCTTGTCTCTCTGGATCAGGAAGGCAATGGGGATCCCCGACGATTGGGAAGAATCTCCATGGAAAGGGGTGGCAGGGCTTCTGGGGAAGTTCTGTCAAGAGAGTTTAGTCGTGGAGGGAATTACTCCTCCAGGATCTCAAACGATCTCCCCGCTTGGGTTTCGTGCTAGGGAGAAATCGAAAGTAATCTAAGGGAAGCAAAACATTAACTCCCATGGTTATTGTTCACTATTCTGGAGTAGAGAAGTCTTCGGAGAAATACCGACCGCTGCTCTCAAACCAGTTAACGACTCAAAGCGGGAGTCATAAGAAGGGAACTGAAAGAGTTAGACCGCATAAGGAAGAAAATAGTGGAGCTCACCGTTGTCCTCCTGGTTACACAAGAGTTCCTGGCTTTGTGGGAGGGGTGGGGATGGGGGTGCGGTGAAGATGATTTTCAGTAGACCTCCTTTCAAATACTACGGCCACCCCCGGATTGATGGGGAAATGGTCAGACCTCGCCCAACGCCTGTGGGATTTTGAGTAGGCCAAATATTTCCCACGGCCAGTCCTCTTTAAGCAGCAAATGCCCTCGGAGACAGTTAACATGCTACATTGAGCATATGTTATTCTGTTATACGTCAGACTGCTGTTTTCCTCCGACTTGCCCAAAGACGGCGCTTCACTGACATCCCCTAACGGCGCTAGCCGGAAGGGGCCGTATCAGTACATTGGGAGTATTTTTACCAGAAGTCTCGCAAAAAGAGCTGAGATGATGGAGGGCGGGAGGAGCTGGGGAGAAAGAGGAGAGAGGGAAAAACCTCACCCAAAAAGGGAAGGGGAAAACTCCCAGCTCTTTTTACTCCCCGCCTGAAGCCCCTTTTAGGAATTCTGTTTTCCTGTGGCAATCATTAGCTCAAAGGATTCCTCGAGAAGATGTAGATGGGATCCCAAACCCGATCTTATATAGCAAAAATATCAGAACAGAGCAGAAGAGGGGAGTTCTGGGCATGCGCACTTGAAATCCCTGGGGAATGCCAATTCCCGAGATTAAGATGTGTTGGGGGAAACTGAGGAAGGGAGAAGGGAGAAACCGGAGGCAGAAGTGAGTGAATAGGGGGCACCTCGGTCTCGTCCCAGCCACCTCTTCCTCCTCACTGCCCCCTAGAACCTTCCAAGAAAATGCAGAACCCGACCTGACTCACTTCAAAGACTTGACTTTAGATTAGGGGAGGGGTCCAGGTCCAAGGACTCCTCCCCTTGGACTCTCGGGTACCTTTAAAAATTCAGTGAACTGGAGGAAGGATTCTCTTTGTGACAGTCTCGCCTGCAAATGCATTCTTTTCTGTGCTGTCAGAGAGGACAAGGGCCAATTTACTCTCATTTGGGAATGGGGGAAGGCAGTACACCTTCTCCATCCAATACTTGAATGGCTGTGGGTAAAGTGGATAGTGTCCAAGGCCTCTTGCACTCTTGAGGTTACTGCCTTGCATTACATAGTTGACATTATGCTGATAGTCCAGCTGGAAAAAGAAGAGAAGTAAAAACTGACCTCTTAAAAAAAACTTTGAAGGCAGATGGCTGCGCTGGGCTTCGCAGGGCTACTGACCCTGATAGAATCCACCAACTCTGCCAAGCAGGGCCCTCCTGAGGGCTCAGTGGAGTTGAGTGGCACATACCTTGCAGCAGGTAAAAAGACAAACAGTTTACTATAGCCTCCCCCAAGGGGAAAAAAAAAGATATTCCCCATTTATAGGAATATGGTTCTGGGCAATAGCACATTTCTCATGCTGGCCTTTTGCTCAAATCTTTGTATCCAGTGTTTGCTGCAGTCAAGCAAGTAATCCTTTTCTGGGTATCTGAACAGCAACATGCCCTTGAAATAGGTCCAAAAGGCAGCTAAACAAGCCCTACTGCTGGGATGTGTTCATGCCTAGCATTATGTTGAATTACAAGTGTCAGTCATCAATGACTTGTTGGAGACCATAAGGCATATGAAGGTCCCAGGGATTCTGGATCTGCATGCTGTGCCAAGCCATACATCTTGTAAGAAGCAGCTCTTAGCTTGCTACTGGGCTGTAGTAGAGATTGAGAGACTTACAGGGAGCCTGCTTGTAGTCCTATGACCAGAGATACCACAGCTCCAGTGTACTGAGTTGACTACAAGTCGTTGTTCAATGACCTCTGCTGGAAGTTTGGATATCCACATCTCCATTGACAATGGAACCTCATTTTGTGCTGCCTTTACCCAGGAATGGGAGCAAGAACAAAGCATCACAAAGGTACCTGGACCCCAGCTTCCCTTGAGGAAGGAAGGAGACAACTTTCACAGATCACCATATTACCTTCTATTTTCCCTGGAACACATATAGGCCTTCCCCAGCAAGGTCACAGGAGGGTTCTGTTTGCCTGCTCCATCTATTTGGAACTCCCATAATTAGAATAAGGTGGTAAAGTTTGGTGTAGACACCCAGGGGGTGATAAATGGGTGCCCATAGATATTATAGCACCAAGTACAGGAAACATTGTGTGGTTTGCAGAAGGGAAAACAGATTATTATTTAGTGTGCCCAGAAAATGTAGGAAGAAAACCTAAGGTATCCCCAGACCCTCTTGCCCATTATTCATAATGGTTCATTGAACCATCATCATATTATCATTATCATCACGACATGGAAGACACTGGCAAAGGACATCCCAACAAGGTGTGCCCACATCAAAGATGGAGTTGAGCTCTATGAGCGAAGCAGAATTGCAGTAGCTCAAAAGAAATGTGAGATAACGCAAATTTAGAGACGTTGCCAATCCAAATATTCATGCAGATTATCTGTGCCTGACCTGTGGTACAGCTTTCCAACCTCATATTGGTCTGATCAGCCACAGGTGGATACACTGTACCTTGACTCCAACTTAGTGATGTCACTTTGGTCTTCTTCAAGAAGGAAGAACAACCAATCAACCAAACAACCAACTATTATCCTTCTGTTGGAAAGAGGGTACGCACATCAGATGGAAACTTGTGAGTGACAGTATTAGAAGTCACAACCTCTCCAGATTATCTTTAGAGTCCTGAAATGAGAAGTAGTCAGCCATCCTCTGGTAACCTAAACTTCCAGTCCAGTGCAAGTTAGAAGAGTGAGCCCAGAGAGTATGCTATGAGAGGCTCATATATGGGAATTGGTGGGATATGCAGAGATGGTGCTAAAGACTAGAATATGACAGTGTAAGGTAGGCCTTGTCCCAAAGGAACAGGGCAGATAAAAGAGGAGAAGGTCTGAGTGGCATTGCATGTCCAGGAGGAGGCGAGATTAGACTTGCTTTGTTTGGCAAAACTAGGAACAATGGGCAGAAGACATAGAAAGGCAGATTTTAGTTCAACGTAAGAAAAAAAAACTTCCTAACAATTATAGCTACCTAAAAATTTAAAAAATTAAAATAAAAAGAATGGATTGTTTTGATAAGTAATGAGTCATGGGAAATCACCAAAGGTACTCCAGTGGAGGATGACTTTTGTTGGGACATGCTTTAGAGAGCACTCCTATTCAGATATATTTTCCACTGGATGTTCTGTAGGCACCTCAGAGTTGACACATCCAAAACAGAATCCATTCTCTCCCCCACCCCCAAAACCCAAATCCTTCCCAATTGTTCTAAACTATTACTTCCCTCCAACTCACCCAGGTTTATGACCTCAATGTCATCTTCAACTTGTCACTCTAACTGAACTCTCATATACAACCAGCTGCCAAAGCTTGTCATTAACACATCTCTTTACTTTACTTTACTCAGACTCCTGGCCTGCATCTAAGGAGGATCCCTGATCAAATAGGAAGGGAAGGCAGAACTCAGAGACAACCCCTTTCTCAATAAAACCTCAGTTATGTGAATCCCTTAAGCCCCAAGACAATATACAGAACTTGGAATTTCTGGTAGTTGGCCTGGGTCCCCAGTAAGCTCAGCTTTGAGAATGTAGGCTTATGATAGTAATACCATTAACCAGCTCAGGTCTTGCTACAGAAAGGTCAAATCACAAAGGAGCTAAGACCATATTAACCTGTGATCAGGCTAACTTATGATGTTGCAAAAGAAGTGGTCACTTTTAAAATGCAGCTTCTAATGTGTTCTCATTAAAAAAAATATGAAATTTCCCAAAGCAACAATCTACATATATATCTCACACTAAAAAAATCTACAATCCCTGATTTACAAGTGCCAGCCAAATGGAAGACCATGAAGTTTAGGATGTACATTTGTAGAACTGTAGGTACCTCCAAGTGATTTTGCAGGGAGCAGAAAATTTTTGGCCTGGGGAAGAAATGTCAATGTGGAGACCAATTGCCTCCCCCCGCAAATGTTGCCATAGATAGTGGGCTGCAGTGAAGGGTGTGCTGGAAGGTAGGCTTTACCTTAGAGATCTCACTCACCCCACATACCCAATCCACTGCCAAATCTTGTTTATTCAACCTTTAAAATATACACACACGTGTGTGTGTGTGTGTGTGTGTATAGTACATATGCGTGGGTATACACATATGTGTACATATGCATATGTGGGTATACACATATGTGTGTATATATGCATATATGTGTGTGTATACACACATGTGTGTCTGTCTGTATATGTATCCCCTTCTTTCCATTCACACAGCTACAACAGTGCAGAACCTCATCACCAATTGTCTGGACTACTACAATAGCCTTCCAACTTTTCTCCCTGCCTTGTCTCCCTCCACTCCAATGTACCCACCACTCAGCTGCCAAGGTTATTTTCCTAAAGCATCAGCACACTTCTTAATGAGCTCCTGTGGCTCCTTATTACCTCTAGGATAAAGCTCTTCGTTACCTAGCCCTTCCTACCTTTCCAGTCTTCTTATACTTTACTCCCCTTCATAGTCTCTACAATCCATCTGCACTAGACTGCTTAATGTTCCTTGAACATGACTCTCTCTCTCTCTCTCCAACCTCTGTGACTTTATACTGGCTATCTTCTATGCCTGGAAGGCTCTGTCCCATCACCTCTTGTTTTCTCTGGCTTCTTTTAATACTCAGCTCAAATCCCATCTTCTGCCAATTCTCTAGCTGTTGGTACCTTCCCTTCTGAGATTACATATCTTGTATATATCAAGTCATTTACATGTTGACCGTCCAATTAGAATTCAAATTTCTTGAACGCAAGAACTATTTTTTACTTTCTTTAGGCAGCAAGATGATGCAACGGCTAGAGCGCCCGGACCCAGAGTCAGGAAGACCGGGATTCAAATCCATATTCAGATGCTTACTAGCCGTGTGACTCTGAGTGAGGCACAGCTTCTGTCTGCCCAAGTTTTCTCGATTGCAAAAGCGGGGTGAATAATAGCACCTACCTTGCAGAGTTGCTGTGAGGTTTAAATGAGATAATACTCGTACAGCGCTTTGCTCTATAAATGCTAACTATTATCATTAGTTGGTTTTTGCATCTGCAGCACTTAGCACAGTGCCTGGAACGTAATAAATGGTAAATGCCTGCTGCTTTACCTGACTTCGTGGCCCATGCCACCAAAGAGCTCAAGCCCAAGGAGCCACTTGATCCCTCAAGCTGGTATAAACACTGTCACTGTGGGACTCCAGCTGTCCCTGGATAGAGGTAACGGCATTTCCCTTTACCTTGGAGAAGGGAACACCTAGGGGGCGTGTGATCACTTTAAGTATTTGAAAGGCTGTTGGGTGGAATGTGTTTTTTTCTTGACCCCAGAAAGTAGAGCTGGGGCAATGGATGGAAGTTATAGGGAGTCACATTTCAGACTGATGTCGAGAAAAGCTTCCCAACCCAATTGGAGTCGCCCCAACAGCTCTAGGCACACAAGTGGTGCAGAGAGGGCTAGGAATCAGGGAGATCTGAGTTCAAATCCTGCTTAGTTGTGCAATCCTAGGCAATTCACTTAACCTCTCTGTCAGTTTCCTCAACTGGAAAATGGGGACAATGATAGCACCTACTTCCCAGGCTTGTGATGAGGATCAAATGAGATAATATTGGTAAAGCACTTAGCACGGAGCTCAGCATACAGTAAGTGCTTAATAAGTGCTTGGTCCCATTCCTTCCCCTTCCCCAAGTGTACGGATTACCTCATCAGATGGGGAATTCCTTATCATTGGAGGGGAGTGGGGGGGGATCGAAGGGGAGGCTGTATCTGTCAGAGGTGCTATGGAGGGACTCCTGCCTGGGTTGGCAGATTAGAGATGCTATGTGATTCCTCAGATCCCCTCCCCACTAGCTCACAGCATTCCGATTGTGCGGCTCTATGGGAGGATGGTCAAAGGAGCAGGGTGCTTTCTCACTGATAGGTGGGTAACACGACTCCCCGAGGCTGCATGACAATGGTGTTGGGCACGGCATTGCGCATTGCTCTCCTCATCTTGATCCGGTCATTGTGCGCTTGGAGCTGCTGCTCACAGAAGAAGTTGAGAGCATCAATAGGTGTGACCACAATCTCAGTCTCCTCGGAAGACAGAGGCATAGAGAGTGAGGACTTCTCTGTCGGGTATTCGTAATCTAGAAACGGCAGCCAGCCACCTATCATGGAGGCCGGAGCCGAGTGGCTAGGGAGCAATTTTTTTTCAAAGGTTTGGTACCACTGAGGCTCAGACATCACCCTTCCCGGGGGAAGGGACTGGCTGAAAGAAGCGAATCTAAAGGAAGGCGGGGAGACAGTCCTAGACTCTGAGGGTGTTGAGATTTCAGGGATAAGGACTGTCTCGCTGGGGCTGCGCTCAGAATGAGCAGAGAGGAGAAGGGAGTTGCGATTGATAAATCAGGAGAAAGCTTGAGGGAATGCTTGGGAGAAAGCTCGGGGGAAAGGTGGGTGGAAAGCTTGCTGGAAAGTTTGGTGGAAAGCTTGCTGGAAAGCTTGGGGGAATGCTTGGGAGAAAGCTTGGGGGAATGCTTGCGAGACTTGAGGGAATGCTGGAGGGGATGCTTGGGTCTTGATGGGAAAATGCGCCTGTGCTTTGCAGAGGAGGCAGGGGTGGGGGGTCGTGGGAACTTGATGTAGGGGAGTTCAGTCTTGGTTGTAGGCAAGACCGGAGAGAGGCTTTCCCGACTTCGATGCTCCTGGGGACTGACAGAAATCTGTAGGGGGAAAAGGCAAGCACTGCAAGTGGAAGGGAGCACATTGTTAGAGGAAGGAAAGGAGAGAGAGCCCTGGGGCACAGAGAAGGCAGAGAGATAGCAAGGCAGGAGAATCAGGAATATAGAGGATGAGAAATGGCGCATGGAGCATGGAGAACTTGAGGGTAGCACTGCCTACAGAGGCAGGGCAAAGGGATGCTGGGAGTATGGAGTCAAGGTAATTGGGGATTTGGGGGAGGAAAGGGGCATGAGGACACATGGGAAAAGGGTATTGGGGCAGGAGTTTGACTGGGATTGGGGATTAGGGGAATAGGGAAAGTGGAAAGGGGATTGAGGAACAGGGACAGTGACACTGAGGGTACAAAAGTAGTTAGCTTAAAATTGATGGCCAGGGGATAGGTGGGAAATTGAGAATTTGGGGGCAAGGGGACTGGAGGATTTGAGGGGAATAGAAGCAGAGGAATGGGGACAGAGGAGACCCACAAGCAAAGGTGATGAGAAATTGTGAATCGGGATGGAAGGAAAGGTGTGGCATGTTATGGACATGAGGTGGGGAAGAGGTTTGAGAGGCTAGGACTTGAGGACTAAGGACTGAGGGCAAAAAGCAGGGAGACAGGAGATTGAGGGTGCGGAGGCACTGAAGACACTGGAGGAATGGGGATAGTAGAAACACAGGGGCAGGGAGATGGGGAGATGAGGGAATAGGGACATAGGGGCTAGGGAACAGATTAAGGACAGGGACGTAGGGGATTTGGGATATGGAGGCTAAGAAGAGGATGACAGGAACAATAGGACAGGGAGATGGAGGATTAGGGGGATGGAAGCAGGGGAAGAGTAACACTGGGGGCTCAGGGACAGGGAAATTGGGTATTGGGGGTCCGGGGATAAGAGATAGAGAGGTTTGGAGACCATGGCATGGTTATAATGGGATTGTGTACATGAAGGTTCTGGAGACTCCCTGGGAGGAAGGGGGATTGGAAACAATGGAGACTGGCAGAGGGGTGGGGAATGGGGACATGAGGGAAGGACCTTGGTATACAGGAGATAAAGAGTTGGAAGGTTTAGGGGCTGGTGGCAGTAGAGACCCTAGGGTACTAGGGATAGTGGAGACACAAGGATGAGGAAGAGGAATGTTGGGGGATCAGGAACTGGCAAATTCAATATTAGGTGCATGGGGAATGAGAGTGGTACAATTTGGGACACAAGGGCAGGGAGACAAGGGTGTTGGGTTATGGGACAAGGGAACGAGGTCAGTGGAGACACCAGAGTTGGGGACATAGAGGTAGGGGCATGGTATCTTGGGGGCAGAGGGACATGGGAATGGAAGGATTTAGAACATAGGATCTAGGGGTTAGGGCCTGAAGGCATTAAGGGTAGGGAGTTGGGAAGATTGAGGTATGAGGACAAGGAAACTGGGAGTTGGGGCATGGAACATGGTTAATTGGTAGTATAGGGACAGAGCAATGGGGAGGATGGAGGGATAGACGCTGGAGTGTAGGGATTAAGGATACAAAGGAAGGGGGAAAGGGGATTCAGAGTATAGAGACAGAGGAAGGGATAATAGTGGTGAGGGTTCGGAGGTATGGCAGAGTGAGGGTATGGAGGCAGCTGGATGGAAAAATGGGGGCCTAGGGGGCAGGGAAATTTTATATTGGGGCCTAGGAGTAAGATGTAAAGACCTTAGTGATACAAAGGTAGGGGTATGAATGGAATGGGAATATAGAGGACATAGTGGAGATACTGAGGGATTAGGGACAGTTGAGAAATGGGAAGGGAAATGAGGAGTTGGGAAAATGAGGGAAAGGATATGGCATATTGGGGGTAAATGGATGGGGCACTGGTGATAAAGGTCCCAGAGATCATAGATTGAAGAAAGATGGAGATTTGGGGGAGGAGAGAGAGGATAGGGAATAATTAGAACAAGGAGGCAAAGAGCTGGGAACATTGAGGGCTTTGGGGCAGGGAACTGGAGGTGTAGAGGAAAGGAGATGAGGAGTGGGGGGTGAACCTTAGTATCAGGTGACCAGAGATGGTGGTGACCCTGGAACTACAATGTCAAGGCAACCAAGGGCATGGAGGGAGTGAGGATATGGAGGCAATGGAGGTGGGGAGGGGAGTAGGAGAATTGCATAATGCAGTTATAAGACTGGGTGTATGAGGCATTTTGGGCCTAGGACTTAGAGACTGAGGCCATAACAGCAGGGGATGGGGAATTGGGGGATGTATAGAGGGGGCGGGAACACTAGGGGCTCAGGGGTAAGAATACTGGGTTATAAAGGGTCCTGAGGCAGGGAGTATTGCCATTAGGAGTATCAGGTGAGGGGGCAGGGATTAAGGATATAGTGGCAGGGAAGCAAGAGGAACAAAGTGGAGATACTGGGATAGTGAAATGGAGAGTCTGAAGAATGGGGGAAGAAAATAGCATATTGGGGATACAGGGACAGGGAGAAGGGGGATACGGGGTCTAGGAATTTAGAGATCAGGGATCAAGGGCACAAGGTCACAGAGACGGAAGGCTGGAGGTCTTGAGGCAGGAGAGAGGATAATTGGAACAAGAGAATAGGGAGATGGAGCATTGGGGGTTGAGAGGCAAGAGAACAGAAGTAATGGAGACACAGAGGCAGGGGAATGGAGAGTTGGGGGAATGAGGAAAAGGGATACAGATACAGGGAGATCAAAGATGTGGAGCCTAGGAATCAGGGATGTTAGAGCAGGAAGATGGCGGATTTGGAGTGTGAGTGTAGAGGAGAGGGGAATAGGAGCATGGCATAGGGAACAGGATCAGAAGTATGGAGGCAGGGAGATAGCAACACTATAGTTAAGGGGCAGAACCCACTGGGTTCTAAGGCTGGTGGATGGGCTCATTGGGGTTACAATGGCAAGGTGATGAGAGAATGGGGGCATGGAGACAGGAGGATAGTGACTGGAATCACCAGGCAGGAGGGTTGGAAATTAGGGGATGGTTGGAAGGGGGATCAGGGGATTAGGGGTCAGGGAATGGGCTAGAAGCAATGGAGAAGAAGGCTAAGGAACTGCTGCACAAAGGTAGAGATAGGGGATATTGGGAGCACAGGGACAGGGAATTAGGAAATTGTGGAGCTGGGGAGCAAGTGAGAAGAGACATTGGGGATGTGGGCACAAGAAGATAGTTAGATGAAGGGAGAGGAATGGATTGGAGGGAAATGGATAAGGAAATGAGAATTAGGGCCTAAAGCACGAAAACAAGAGCAAAGGGGTAGGGGGGATTGAAGGTAGAGGAATGGAGGTGGGAAGGGGGTGAGCCAGAGTGGGACACATCTCTTGTAAGGAAGGGGTAGTGGCAGGAGGTTGAAGAGGGGGTGATGCATAAATACTGTTTCTCGTTTACCTCGTCATACTTCTTCCAAGTAGGCATTAGGAGATCTTGTTTCAAGTGGATCTAAAGAGAGGGTGGCAGGTCAGAAGGGCTGGAACTGCTCACAGACCTTCCCCACTTCTCCCCAAAAATCACCCTTCATGCCTATCCATTGGGGAATGGCCGAACAAGTTGTGGTGCATGATTGTGATGGAATATTATTGTGTTATAAGAAATGACGAGCAGGATGCTTTCAGAAAAACCTGGAAAGACCTGTATGAATTGATACAAAATGAAATGAGCAGAACCAAGAGAACATTGTCCACAGTAACAGCAATATTGTACTATGATCAACTGTGAATGACTTAGCTATGCCCAGCGATGCAAGGAACCGAGATGATTCTGAAGGACCTGTGATGAAAAATGCTGTCCACCTTCACAGAAATAACTGATGGAATCTGAATGCAGATTGAAGCATATTGGGGGTTTTTTTTCCACTTTATTTTCTTTAGTTTTTTTTTTTTCTGTTTTCTTTCATGACATGACTAATACGGAAATATGTTTTGTATGATTGCACATGTATAACCTTTATCAAATTGCTTGCCTTCTCAATGATGGGGTAGGGGAGGGAGAGTGGGAGAGAATTTGGAACTTAAAATTGTAAAAAATGAAGGTTAAGCATTATTTTTACATGTAATTGGGAAAAAATAAAATATTAATTAAAAAAAATACACCCTTCCCAACTCCCACCACTTCCTTCCTCTCCCCCAGCACCCTTGCTCCTTCCCTCTCTCCTTCCTTCCCTGACTAACCTGAAGGTTTTTGATCATAAGTTCCAGTTTCTGTCCACAGCGCCCTCTCAGGCCTGCCTTGTTAGTTAAATCTTTCCCTTCTGCCCAGGTCACCATTTCCTTGAACAGGAAATTATGGGGGTCCTTCAGGCCCAACTGTTCTAGTAGTTTCTTCAGCATAGGTCTAAGGAGTCAGGGGGAGAAGAGAGTTGAGGTAGAGGCAGTGTCACCACTAGGTGTACAGTAAAGCATGTCTCACGGTGTTTGTATATGTGTGCGTGTGTATGTGTGTGCATGATTTCACCTTTGTGTGAATGCGGTATGTGTGTTCTCAGCTACATGGTCTCACCTGAGTGTATGGTCTTACCTAAGTGTATACGGTCTCACCCATGTGTGAGTTTGTGAGTTTGTGATTGTTACCTGTGTGTAAGGAGTCTTGCCCAAGTGTGTGAGGTTTGATCAATGTGTGTGTGTGCATGTGTGTGTGTGTGTGTGTGTGTGTGTAGTCCACCTCTGTGTTTGGGTTTTGAACCATAAGATACCCAATAGTGTTAATTCAGCTTCAGCTTGAAGGCCTCTAAAGAGGCAGCAAGGTGGCACAGTGGATAGAGTATTGGGCCTGGAGTCAGGGAGACCCGAGGTCAAATCTGCCCTGTGACACTTAATAGCTGTGTGACCCTGGCCAAGTCATTTAGCCTCTGTCTGCCTCAGTTTCCTCAACTGTAAAATGGGGACAAGGTTGTTGTGAGAATAAAATGAGATATTTTAAAATCACCTGGCACATAACAGATGCTTAATAAATGCTAAGTAAACTATATCTACAGCCATCCCCCCTAATATTTCAGTAACCCTGCCAAAAAAGGAAAATTACGTTAGCTTGGAATGACATGTTCTTATGCTGCATCTTTTTGATTATTGCTTCCTTTTCAGAAGTTCACTAACCATTCCTTTAATAATACACCCTCAAATTCTGACCAGGAATTCAAATGAAGCTCACTGTTCTCTAGTTTGCAGACTCCATTATCTCCCCTTTTCTTGAAAATCAGGACATTTCACTAATCTTGGAGGTACCTCTCCCATTTCCCACAATCTTTCAGAGATCACTGACAATAGCCCAGTAATCACTCTTGTCAATTCTTTCAAAGTACTCTTCTATGTCGTTCATTTGGACCCAGTTTCTTGAAGTCATCAGGGGAATCTATGGGTTCTTTTGCTATCTCCTTACTGATCTCGCGTATCAACTCCCTATTCTCCATATTTGTTCTTTCCTTTGGAGTCAAAAGATCACTTTCCTTGGTAGAAGGAACAGAAGTAATATAAACATTGGCTAGCTCTGTGCCTTTTCTCTGTTTCAGGTGTCACTATGATATCAATGAAAAGCTCCATTCTTAATCCTCCTTTGAACCGCCTAGGTAAATGTTCATTGTCATTGCTATTGCTTCTAGGATAAAATACAAATGCCTCAACTTTGTCCTTAAAGCCCTTTAGCCTGGTTCCTGCCTGCCTTTCCAGACTAATTTTATACACTCTCTACATTTTAGCCAAACTGGCCTACTTGCCTTCTGGAACTCAGCATTCAGGCTCTGGCGTCTAAGTCTGTCCCCACTCCCCCATGCCCCATCCTACACCTGGAATACTGCCCTTCCTCGATTCTGCTTTCTTAGCTTCTTTCACAGATTAGCTAATGAACCACCTCCTTTTTGAAGTCTTCTGCTCCCCGCATTCACAGGGTTATAATTATCCTGTGCGTAGTTATCTGTTTCCATGTTGTATGATAAGCTGCTTGAAGGCAGGAGATGTTTTTCATTTTTGGCTTTGCACACCCAGCACTTAGCACAGAACAGGCACTACATAAATGCTTCTCCAACTAAATTGTAGGGACTTACCTTTGTGTCTCACGTGTGTGGATTCCATTCGTGAGTGAAGACTTGGGTGAGGTGAGGTGAAGTATCTAGGTATGAGGGTCTCATGTGTGGTTTCACTTGTGCTCAGCGGGTGGTGGGGTCTCACGTGCACCCAGGTAAGGGGGGGGGTTGGCTTGCTCACTTGTGTGGGGAATTCTTGTCTTTTTGTGTCTTACCTGTGGGGGTGGTAGCTCTCACCTATTTCTCAGCAAGGTCACCCTCATCTCTCAGGACAGATCACACCTGTGTGTGGGGGTGGATCTCACCTGTGTCCCAAGGGGTTTTCACTGTTGTCCCAGGGGTGGTCCCACCTCTGTGGTGGGAGTGGGTGGGAGTATCTCACCTGCACCGAGGGGGTGAGTAGAGGAAGTAGGACATAAGTTCCAGGACCATGTCCCGAGAGCCCAGGGAAACAATCATGAGCACTTGCAGGGCTGTCATCACAAATTTCTTCTCTATCTTGTCCTGGGGACTCCAAGGTTGGAGTTGAGTCAGTGTCTACATAACCAGATTTGTCCCAGCCATTCCATGATCAGTCCTTGGACTTGAGGGGCCCTAGGGGGGCATCATCATTGGGACTGAGGGTTTCCTAGGGCTTGAAGGTGCTGGGTTTTTGGAAATTTATTGTTAGTGATGGGGACTTTCCAGGGCTTTGGAGTTACAGGTTTGGAAGGTGAAGGGCTATTTCAGGAAGGGAAGTTCTGGGATGGGGGAAGTTTCAGGGCTATTTCAGGAGCTCAAGCAGGCAGGAAAAAGAAGCCATATAGGCCATACCAGCTAGGTGGCATTGTAGATACAGTGCAGGGCCTGGAGCCAGGAAGTCCTGAGTTCAAATCTGACCTCAGACACTAGCTATGTGACCTTGGGCAAGTCACTTAACCCTGTTTGCCTCAGTTTCCTCATCTGTATAAAATGAGCTGGAGAAGGACATGGCAAACCACTCCAGTATCTTTGCCAAGAAGACCCCAAATAGGGTCATGAAAAGTTGGACACTACTGAAAACAACTAAACAACAAACAACAACAGGCCATATCATGAGGTCGGGGAACTGGGGGGCCCAGGGCTACATTACCAGCTCAAGGCTGGGGATATGTTGGAAGTCACTAAGTCGACTAAAGAGGGCTCCCCTAGCTTGAATATAAAGTCTGGAACTTAGCGGGGTGGGGTGTGGTCTGGGCCCATACCACCAGGTTTGGGGGAGGGTCTTTGTTGAGAAGTTTCAACAGCAACTGTTGCAGCCTCTTCCGGAATTCATTCCCCAGCCAGGGCATCATCTCTGTGAGCATCATCAAAGCCTCAGTGCCATCCTCCCAGGTGGCTCGCTCCAGGATCTTCAGCAGCAATATAGCCACACCCTCCACTGTGAAGCACTCTGGATATGCCTTTGAAGTAGTAACAAGAGAACAGGGGCTAAGGGAGAAATCAGGGGGGCCAGACCCAGAAACCCAAGAACCCCAGAAGAAACCCAGAAACCTTAGGCCTTTGGGTCCCTGAAGACCCAGCACCAGTAACACTATGTGCCCAGTCCCACTTCCAGCTAGATTCAGCTTCAAGACACAAAGAAGGAGACAAGGAAACTTGGAAACACATATCAGCATCTGGGGAGCTAATGAGGTATTCTAATTGGGAAAGGGATTCTGGGGTCATGGTAACCTCATACACCGACTGTGCCTTCCCTTGTTCCTTCTCTTGTTGATTCTCACGTTCCTTGTCACGAAGCCCTTCAGGGACAATAACTTCCTAGGATCATAGGGAAGGTAGTCTGGTCGAAATAGTAGTAACAGATGCTTGATAACTTTCTCTTAACTTCTATGTTCTATGTTCCTCTCCCACCCTGCCCTTACAAGCACTGAAACCTTCAATGGCTCCCAATTCACTATTGCTGTTAGGTTTACTATGTATTTTCCTTATAGCAACTCTGTGAGGTAGATAGTGCACATATTATTGATTACCCTCATTTTCTAGAAGGGGAAAACTGAACTCAGAGAAGAGAAATGGCTTTGCAAGGGTCAAATGGCTTATAAGCAAGAGCTGAAGCCAGAATTCTAACCTAGGTCTCTCCCAGTTCTAGGCTCAGGGGTCTTTCCATCAAGGCCTTCAGCAATACTGTGGCCAGACCCTCCCCTGTGCAGCACTCTTGGTACGCCTTTGAAGTAGTTGCAAGAGAACAGGGGCTTAGGGAGGATTTGGGGGCCAGGACTAGAAACCCAAGTTTGACCTTAGCCCTTTGGGTCCCCAAAGACCCAGCACCAGTAGCTCTATGTGCCTGGGTCCCACTCCCTGCCAGGTTCAGCTTCAAGACACAAGACAGGGGACAAGGAAGCCTGGAAGGATCTATCACCACTTAGGAAGCTAAAGAGGCATTCTAATTGGGAAGGGAATTCTGGAGTCATAGTAACCTCAGGCACCAACTGTTCCTTCTCTCGTTCCTTCTCATGTTCCTTCTCACGAAGCCCTTCAGAGACAATAACTTCCTAGGATCACAGGGAAGGTAGTCTGGTCTAAATAGTAGTAACAGATGCTTGATAACTTTCTCTCATCTTCTATGTTCTATGTTCCTCTCCTACCCTGTCCTTACAAACACTGAAACCCTCAATGGCTCCCAATTCTCTATTGCTGTAAGTTTTACAAGGCACTTTCCTCATAGCAACTCTGTGAAGTGGGTAGTGCACATATTATTGATTATCTCCATTTTCTGGAAAATGAAAACTGACTGACCTCAGAGAGGAGAAATGGCTTTACTAGAGTCAAATGGCTTGTAATGAAGCCTGCCTAATTCTAGATCCAGGGGTCTTTCCATCAAAGCCTTTAGCAGTATTGTGGCCAGACCCTCCCCTGTGCAGCATTCTTGGTATGCCTTTGAAGTAGTGGCAAGAATACAGGGGCTGAGGGAGGATTTGGGGGCCAGGACTAGAAACCCAAGTTTGACCTTAGCCCTTTGGGTCCCCAAAGACCCAGCACCAGTAGCTCTATGTGCTTGGGTCCCATTCCCTGCCAGGTTCAGCTTCAAGACACAAGGCAGGAGACAAGGAAGCCCTGGGAGGATCTATCACCACTTAGGGAGCTAAGGAGATATTCTAATTGGGAAAGGAATTCTGGAATCATAGCAACCTCAGGCACCAACTGTTCCTTCTCTTGTTTTTTTGGTTGTTTCTTCTCACGTGACGCCTTCTCACGAAGCCCTTCAGAGACAATAATCTCCTAGGATCACAGAGGGGTAATCTTGTCTAAATATTAATAGCAGATGCTTGATAACTTTGTCTTATCTTCTATGTTCTATGTTCCCCTCCTACCCTGCCCTTACAAGCACTGAAACCTTCAATGCCTTCCAAGCCTCCTTATTGCAACTCTGTGAGACGGGTAGTGCACATATTATTGATTACCCCATTTTCTGGGAGAGGAAAACTGAACTCAGAGAGAGGAAATGGCTTGGCTAGGGTCAAATGGCTTGTAAGTAAGTGCTGAAGCCAGAATTCTAACCTAGGTCTCTCCCAGTTGTATGCCCAGGGGTCTTTCCATCATTTACCATGCTTCCCTTAGAAGCCCCTAACCATAGAGGGTTGTGTGGTAACCTCTGGGGGTTTGGGGAAAACATACTGGGAGCATGAATGCTGTTTCTCTAGGGCACCTGGAAGAGGAGAAACCGAGGGAAGAGATAGAATTAGGATGGATAAGGAAAGCAGATAGGGCCTAGGCTGGAAGCCTGTGGGGAAAGAAGGAGCAAGGCACTGATTCCAAGGTTTTTGGTTCTTTGGGCATTGGGTAAAGGGGATATGGGAGCAGAAGGGGGACAAAGGGTAAATTTAGAGCTCATTAGGTGTCCTGAGGCCTCATGTGATTACAGATTATATCAGAGATCCTCAACTATACCACAAGATTGGGGAAAGTTAGGCATCATACCAGGAGATTAGAGACAATAGGGTAGGGAGTACCAGCGCCATGCCATTAGACTAAAGGGCATTTCACTTCCTTGGGACTGTACCACAAGGTTAGCAGGCATGGGGATGTGACATATTACACTATGACATTAGAGATTATTAGACTTGGAGAGGGAGTTGTACCACGGGGTTGGAAAGGTTCATGGGGTCCTAGTTATATCAGAAGGTTAAAGATTCCAAGAACTTATACAAGATCTATTGGGGTGGAGAAAGGGAGTCAGAGGGCTAGGATCAGGGTGAAGAGAAGACTTGGGAAAGGGGTTAAGAACACTTTTTTTCCCTCCTTCATGTCACCCCCTGCCATTTACCTCAAAGTCGAAATCATGAAAATATTTCTGGAACCACACTTTATTCAACAAAGAGATGAGAAATTCGGATATAGGATGAGCGCCCTTATCAGAAACATAGGTTGAGCCAGGGTCCCATGTTTCAGAAGTATCCAAGGAGCTGAAGAATTCTTCTAATTTGGAGCGTAATTCCAGCGTCACAGTTATCTCAGGCACCATCTGTTCCTTCTCAAGTTCCTTCTCACTCTCTTTTTCATGAAGCTCTTCAGAGACAATACCTTCCTAGGATCACAGGGAAAGTTATCTGGTCTAGTTCCTAGTCTCTATGAAAGGCACTTAGTGATAACTGGGTTCTGTTCCATAGGATCTCCTCTAATGTGTGGGACTTCAAGGAGACAGGGGGTGGGGTTCATCAGGAAGATGACTAGGAGGACTTAGAAGGAGGATCTGAGGGTGGATCTAGGAGACACAGCATGTAGTGTCTTCTGGGGGTGCTGGGGGCTAAATCTGGAGGTCTCAGAGGGATAGGAGTTCCTGGAAGGGGTTGAGAAGTTCTAAGAGCTGGTCTGGGGGGAGTCCCAGAAGCTGTCTAAGGGTCCCAGAGGGAGGTGTTGTGGGTCCCAGGGGCTGCCTAAGGGTCCCAGAGGGAGATGCTGTGGGTCCCAGGGGCTGTCTAAGGGTCCCAGAGGGAGATGCTGTGGGTCCCAGGGGCTGTCTAAGGGTCCCAGAGGGAGGTGCTGTGGGTCCCAGGGGCTGTCTAGGAGTATCTAGGAAGTTGGGGAGAGGCTCCTGAGGGTTCCAAAGGGGTAGGGCAGGATCCTAGGCCTGAATAAACTGAAAAATATGTGTCTAGCCACCTACAGGGAAGATTTCCTGTTGCACAAAGCTTGAATCTGACTGAAACGTGGTATCCTGGATCAAGCTGGGTTCCAAACCCAAGGCTTTCTTCAACCAGGCTTTCTCTTTCTTCTTACTTGTGCCCCATGGAAGCCACATTGTGTCCATCTCATACTGATCACAGACAGGAGAACATGGATGGATCAGTTATGAGGAAGAGATAGGTTCGGGAATGGAGGGTCATAGGAAAATGAGAGGGAGAGTCACAAGGGCAGGAAGGTCATAATGATGGTGACTAGAAGTATAAGGATTATAGGAATGGGAGAAGCACACAAATGAACTTGAGAGAAATTGGGGTGCTGGGGATGGCATTGATCAGGATCAAGGGAATGAATGGTTTCAGGGACAGGGTTGAAAAGAAGGAGAAAGATAACAACGATAGGAGTTGGAAAGAGGGGAGAATCACAAGGAAGTGAGGTTACAGGGATTGAGAGTGATGTGGATGATGGATCTAATCCAATAAGTCTGTCTGTTTGTAAAGCATTATGTGCTGGGAAAAATGAAAAAGAAAATGAAATCAAAAGAAAAAATGAAGAAGTCCCTACTCACAAGGATTTTACATTGTAATTGGCAGCGGGGGGGAAGGGAAGGAAGAAATACAACATCCTAGCATCTTATGATGACAGAATATGAGATTCAGAAGTGACTTGAGAGGTCCTCCACCCAACCCAAAGGAATCCCCACCACAGCATATCTGACAAATGGCTATCCAACCCGCTGCCCAAAGACCTCTGAGTATAGACGAACCCACCACTCCTAGAGGCAAGCCATTCCATTTTTGGACAGCTCTAATTTCAAGGAAGTTGTTTTGTTTTGCTTCTCTCTCACATCATTATACATTTCTTCAAGTTCTGCCCTCTGGGACCAAACAGAATACATTTGTAACCCATGGCCCAAGTACGCCAGAAGCCCTGTGGACTCATACAGATGGGGTGAGATCCTGGCAGCTAACCATCTCATTCCACTTCCACGATAGTTCTCCAAAAATACTTGAATACAGATATGACATTCTTCTCACTCCCCACCTCCCCAAGTCTTCTCTTCTTCAGGCTAAATGTCCAAGTTCCTTCAACCATAGACTCAAGCTCCTTCACAATCCTGGTTACTCTCCTCTAAGTACTCTTCCATTTATCAATATCCTTCCTAAACTGATACCCACAAATAAACATAATACTCCAGTTGTGGTCCAATAGGACAGAGGCCAATGGGACTATCACTTCCTTAAGCTTTGCCTCTATTAATGAAACCCAAGATCGCTTTTTTTTTTGTCAGTCACATCAATATGGTGATTCACACTGAGCTTGTGAAGCACTAAAACTCAGATCTTTTCCACACAAATTGCTGTCTATGCCTCCTCTAGCTTGGAATTGCCAAGGTGATTTTTTTTTCAAATTTAAGACTTTACACTTAAGTGAATTTTGTTTTATTTGATTCAGCTCATTGCTTTAGCTGTCAAGATCTTTCTGCCTCTTGCCTGTCATCCAATGTGTTAGCTATCCCTTCTAGCTTGGTGCCCTCTCCAAATCTGATTAGCTTCACTGCGATAGGAGTTTGAGGAATGAGGGTCACAGGAAGGGAAGGTGTAGAGATTGTGGCCATAGGAGTCAAAGGGATGGGAGGTAATGGATAGGGGTTTTGAGGATGGGAATCAAAGGAAAGGATGAGGTACGGAGGGAAGAAAGGTCACAGGGGTAGTGGTCACTGGAAGGAGGCAATCTCACAGTTGGGGTGATGAAAAAGATGGAAGTCATGGAAATGTCTTACCAGGTTGAAGTTCACAGAGTTAAGAACCATCTGTCTCCATACCTCCAAGATTTCAAAGCTCTCTGACTTCAGATTGACAAGTTGCCCAACTCCCTTCAACTCTGTCTTTGGCCATAGTTGCTGTACTGCCACTGAATTGGGGATGTAACCCGGGAACTGGATCAGTGGAGGCATCTACTAGAGAGAAAAAAACACAGTGTCAGAGGACTAGGAGGCTACGGGGTTTGAAAGGCAAAGAAACCAGGGACTGACTTTCCCACTCAGCCCTACTGCGATATTCTGAGAGATGGGGAGACATGACTTGGTCTTCAAAGAGCCTCTTGTGTGAGAGGAGAGACAGAACTCAACCTTCATGGAGTCCCTGGCTATCCTTGCTCTTAGAGACTCTTCAATCTGTCTGTCCAGACCTTGCTGGAGACACAGGCTGGATTGTATTTGAACTGATCTTAAAGCACCTGCTCACTCTGGGCTGTATGGTTACCCTTGTGGGGATGAGCTCTCCTCAGGGTGACTGGAAAGAGGTCATACCACCTGCAGACGCAATACCACATCCAGGATAGAAAGTTGAATCAGAGAGGTCAGTGGGTAAACTCTGGCTAAAGGAGGATCACTATCTGCTATACCCACAGGCCCCACAGCACAGAAGAATCACAGAAGAACAGGAATTTCACCCCCTTCCAACCCTCAGAGCTACAAGAAAATGCAATGGTCATCTCATCAAAGTTCACATCTGAATAGGAATCCCTCTACCACAGTCCCAAAGAGAGTTCATCTTCACCTCTATGGTACCAAAGTACAGTGGAAAGTGAACCTAGCTTTGAATCCCAGCCCTTCTACTAAGTAATCTGTGTGATTTTGGGCATCTGGGTTTCAGCTTCTTCTTCTGTAAGATTAAGGGGTTGACCTCTAAGTTTCCTTCCAGTTCTAAATCTCATGACCCTATAATGCCTCCCAGAATGGGGGACGTACCATTTCCAGAGGCAACCTGCTGCCCTCATGGTTAGCACTAATGGTTAGGAAGTTTTTCCTTATATAAAGCCAAAATCTGCCTTTTTAGAACTCTTCCTTCTTCCCCCTCCCCCATCTCTCACCATTGCTCCTATCTCTGCCCCTCTAGGGCCATGTCTGGAATCTTGTCCACATCAAAGCCTGTCAAGTCCTTCTCCGGTATATAGATGCCCACCAGTACTGAATGACACCGTCTTTCCTCCCTTCCCCATTCTGGTTTCTCTCCTGTTTTCATTAACCTCGTACATCAAACAGTAATGATGGTTCAGAGCCTAGATTGAGACATTTTGGGGTCACTATGGATAGTGACCAGGAAATAGCCAGAGGTGATCTCCTGCCCGTACACTGTACAGTTAATGGGCTGACAGTCCAGTAAATGAAATATGGGAAAAGTCAGGGAGTAGAACAATGGAAGTAAACTACTTCCCTAGGGAAGAAGTAATGACAGGATAGCTCATTCAGGTCTTGTCCTCTCACACCATAGCCCAGAAGACGAAGCTGCATGTAAAAAATATTTAATAAATGTCTGCTGAATGAATTAAGGAATAGATCGATGGAGAAGTCCCATTTAGAGGTAGTCTGAGAGAGCTTCCCCCTGATGTTGTCATTCATGATCACTACGGTGGCTGTTCCCCCGCTGTACACAGTAGGTGCTTAATAAATATTTGTTGTGTTAATAAGAACTGACATTTATATGACATTTGAAAGTTCAAAAATAGCTTTAAGGAAATAGCAAACTGCTTCAATATCTTTGCCAAGAAGACCCAAAAAGGTGTCACGAAGAGTCGGCTATGACTGACAACAAAATGACAACAGAAATATTATCTTATGGGAGCCTCACAAAACCTGTGAGGTATTATCCCCATTTTACAGATGAGAAGACCGAGGGTCAGAGAAGTTGAGTAACGTGCCCATGGTCACATACAGGTAGTAAATTTCAGAGGCAAGATTTGAGCCTAGGTTCTTCTGATCCCCTGCTCAACTGGTCAGCATATACCTATGTGCCAATTACTATGCTAAGTACTGTGGATACATTCCCTGCTGAGAAGGAGTTTACAATACACTGGAGCATCATTTGAGCTGAGCTCTGAAAGGAACCAGGGATTTTAAGAAGCAGAGATTAGGAGGGAACACATTCTAGGCATAGGGCCTAGACCTATGGACCCTTAAGGACCCAGGGATAAGAGATGGAATGTCACGGATGAGAAATAATAAGAAGGACATTTTGGCAAGAATAGAGAATGCATGAAGGGTAGTAATAAATAACAAAGCTGGAAAGGTAGCCTGGAACTAAGTTGTGGCAGCTTTTAAATGCCAAACAGAGGGGCTCATCTTTGATCTTTGAGATAACAGGGAGTCACTGGAGTTTACTGCAAAAAGGACTGATGGTCAGACCTGTGCTTTAGGAAAAACACTTTGGCAGCCGTGTGGATGGATTGGAGATAAGAAAGGCTTAAAGGAGGGAGGTTATTGCAACGGTCCAAGGGACAAGTAATAAAGGGCTGAATGCAGGAGAAAGAAGATATGAGATGCAGAAGAACTGACAGCACCTGGCAATTAAGCGTCCTGGTCACTACCTGTTGGATTCGTGGGATGGGCAATAGTGAGGCGTTAAGGTTGATTCCAAGGTTGCAAACTTAAGTGACCAGAAGGATGGTGACACTCTCATCAGAAACAGGGGAGTTTGGAAGGATGGAGGAGAGCAATGGGTTCTGTTTTGGATACATTGAGTTTGAGATACCTACAGGATATCCAGTTCTAAATTGTCCCTTAGATGCAAGCCTGAAGTTCTAGGGAGAGGTGAGGGCTGGGAGGACTGGATATATAGACCTGTAAGTCATCTGTGTAGAGATAGTTAAAAGCATAAGTACTGATGTGGTCAAGGAAAAAGAGTGTAGAAAGATAAGAGGACACAGGACAGAGCTTTGGGTTACAACCATATTGAGGGAGGGGGGCTCCATACGGATGATGGTCCATCAATAGAGACCGAGAAGTAGTGCTCAACAAAGTGGGGAAAAGAACCAAGAGAGAGCAGTGCCATGAATCCAAGAGAAGAGAGTAGTCTACAACAGAAGGGTCAAAGTCTCTGCTGCAAAACTCCAGTGTAACCAGGACTAGATATAATGCAATTGGGCAATGTTTAGCAAAATAAACAAAAATACAACACAACATAGTTAATGATGTTAAAAGGTGGTTTTCTTTTTTTAAAATTTATTTTCATTTCATTAAATATTTCCCAATTACTTGTAAAACAATTGCTAACATTCATTTAAAAAATTTTTGAGTTCCAAATTCTTCCCTCCCCTCCTGCCCCATCCCTCTTTGAGAAGGCAGTTTTATATAAATTATACAAGTAAAGTCATGAAAAACATTTCCATATTAGCCATGAAGCAAAATAAAACATAGACAAAAACAACCAAAACAAAACAAAATAAGAAAAACAGGGGCAGAGCCAAGATGGTGGAGTAAAAGCAGTAACTTGCTTGAGCTCTTCCTCAAACCTCTCCAAATACCTATTAAAAAAATGGCTCTAAACAAATTCTAAAGCAGCAGAACCCACAAAAAGACAGAGTGAAACACATTTCCAGCCCAAGACAACCTGGATGGTTGATTAGAAAGGTATATCTCACCGTGCAGGGAGAGGAGCACAGTTCAGCATGGGCACACAGGCCACAGCAAACCTGAAGCAGGCTTCAGAGGACTGAATAGTGGGCAGCTGTGGCAGTTTCCAGACTTCTCAACCCAAGAATGCCAAAGACAACTTAGAAGGTCAGTGGGAAAAGTCTGTTTCTGTGGTGGTGAGAGAGTAGCATGGGGTCTCAGCTCCAGTTCCTGAGCTCAGCCTAGGGGCAGCAGCTGCCTCCTGAGCTTCCAGCCCACAGACTAAGGGAGAATCGAGTAGCTGATCAGAGGGGGATTGCAGGGATCTCTCTGCTGGTGCAGGATTCTCTTGTTTTGCCCGTGCTTGGATCTGAGTCTCAGCTCTGGGTGGCGGTCCTGGGGCGAGGAGCACTGGTGTGGTGGAGCTTGCAGTGGCTGTACAGAGATAACCCTCACAGTTCCAAGACAGAAAAGAGTTCTTGTGGTCACTCATAGACCACAGCACAGGACAGGAAAGGAGTAAACACCTTGCCCCTTATCATACCACCTTGGAAGAACTGAAAATTTACAGGTCCCTACAAGTATCTCTGAAAACAGCTGTACAAACTCCTGAAGCTTGGGACAATACATTCTCCACATTGGAAGCAGACTCCTACCTTAACAAGGAGTTTATAACTCAAGTAATTGGCCAGGATCATGAGCAAGCAGCGCAAAAAGAATCAGACTATATTATCTTACTTTGGTGATAAAGAAGATCAAAACATACAACCAGAAGAAGACAATGAAGCCAAAGCTCCTACATCCAAAGCCTCCAAGAAATATATGAATTGGTCCCAGGCCATGGAAGACTCAAAAAGGATTTTGAGAAGCAAGTAAGAGAAGTAGAAGAAAAACTGAGAGTGAGGCTAAAGGAGACCCAAAAAAATACTGAAGAAAATAACACCTTAAAAAATAGCCTAACCCAAATGGCAAAAGAGGTCCAAAAAGCCAATGAGGAGAAGAATGCCCTAAAAAGCAAAATTGGCCAAATGGAAAAGGAAGTCCAAAACCTTACTGAAGAAAATACTTCCTGAGTGAAGACGGAACCTTCAGGGTGGCCTTCAGAGTGGGAGTGCGAGCTCAGGAGAGCTCGCTGGGCGTGAGCTTAGCCGGCGGCTGGGCCCCTTGGGTAGGTGTGAGCAGTTTTGGGGCTGCTTCTGTGGCAAGCGGGTAGGAGTCGAGGCTGTCTTGGACCCATTTGGCTCCCCCGGAGCAGGACTTCTTGGAGGACCCAGTTAAATCGATTTCCCAGCTGCTGATGGGATACTTCGGAAATGATCGCTAAGCCCAGCCCAGCCCAGCCCCAGACACCAGCCAAAACAGAAAATGATGGCCAAGAACTAACTGCACCAGCATCTGCTGTATAAAATGGTGGCTATGTGAAAAACCCTAGCAACTTGACACCAAAAGGAAGAAGGAAAGTCTGAGAGCAGTACGAAAACGTCAGAAAGAAAAACATTTTAAGAAGGAAGAGGTCAGGTCAGCCAGAGAACACTGAAGATGAAGTTGAAGAAATGGTGGAAGCA